TGAGAAGAGAATATTTTCTAAAATAACTTAAAGTATATGTAGTGATATTATTTTTTAAGTTTTCGTTTGTGTAATGTAAATTGTAAAGAGCTGTTTAATAATATATTTTGTCTTTTTATAATTTATAAATCATAACATAATAAGAACACCATGCCAACTAAGTGAAATTAGTCAAGAAAGACAAGAACTGGCTATAACTCAGTATATTTTTGAATAACCGCTTGACTTAATTAAACTTCTCCCGTACCGCACTTGTTAAAACCTCTTCCTATCCTTGAGTTTACATAATTATGATACAAATAATTTTAAACATTTTTTTTTATTATGGGGTGGGGGCGGGCGGGGGGGGGGCATAATGAAGGTGATGTTGGAACCACTCTATTGATGCGCGAGTGGTAGTTATCTAACCTAACCAACTTTTCGAACATGTCTTGAAAACCGTTCTCTAGAAAACGTAAGTAACGTTCACCAGTCAACGTATCCTGGAAAACGTATGGCCAAGAAAAGTTAAACCAATAATCCTCCACGCTTTTCTTCATTTGAAAAATTTATATTTACAATTTTTGTTTATTTTAATTTACAAAGTCACAGTTTCACATTTTACGACAATTGATCTTGTTTCCATGGCTAAGTGAAATTGTTTAAAAATTATTAGAATTGGCTATAACTCAGTAATTTTTCGAAAAAAACATATTATAGCTTATATCGCTGTAAATCTTAAAAATGGCACTTTTTATGAAGTCATGGCCAATTATGGTTTCCATTTAAAAAAATGTATGTTTGTGTCATATGTCAAAAATGACAGGATTTAGAAAAAAACGGAGAACACAAACTCATTAGGGATGTGATTATCTACAACTTTTATCTGAAAACAGATTATAATGGAATTACAGACAACTTTTAAAATAGCAAAAATTTGTATTTTTCGAAATATCTAGTAAGCCATGAACTTTTTCAAAAATCTGAAAGGCGCATATTTATGACACCACAAAACTGTAATTCTTTCCCTATTTAACCGACTCCCTATCTCCAGTAATTTCCGAGATACCCATAGAGAACATCATAGGAAACTCACCCTGTATACAAGGTGGTCCGAACTGTATTCCGGAAACTTCGGCAGCATATTCTGCAGATAAAAATAAGTTAAAAATTTCGTATAAATGTATGTCCTAAAATTCTTAGTTTTGGAGATACAGGGTGTAAAAGTTTCATTTTTATTTCGATTGTTTCCAAATAATTTCTGAAGTCTCGTCACCATTTGGATGAAAATTGGTGTCTGGGAGTTTTTTGATATGAGAAATTTGATTTTGATGTCAATATGACTCCTACTAGTAGAGGGCGCCACCTACATATTTTTTAAGTGGTTTGAAAAGTAATAAATTTTCGTCCGTACCTGTATAAAACTACTGAGTAAAAAAATATACATTTACAACGTTTTTTACATGAAAAAGGTCTCTTGGTAAAAATCGCTACGGGTAATTAAACATGTTGACTAAATAGTTATTAGACTGAAATTATAAATTTGAAATGTTTTTGTGCCAAATGTTTAACAAAAACTGTTTTGCCATCATTTTTTGCAGAAAAATTTATGATTAATTTAAAAAAATAAAAATTTCCGAAATTTATTATTTCAGTGAAATAACTATCTACTCAACCTGTTTATTTTTCGTCAATAATGACATGTATTGTCTATTTCCATTCTTATAGCTTAAGAACGGTTGTTCGTAGCGATTTTTACAAAGAGATATTTTTTACGTAAAAAGTCACAGAGATGTATATTTTTTCGCTCGGTAGTTTTATACAGGTACGGACAAAAAGTTATTACGCTTCAAAACAGTTAAAGCACATGTAGGTGGCGCCCTCTACTAGTAGGAGTCATATTAACATCAAAATCAAATTTTCCATGTCAAAAAACCCCCAGACACCAATTTTCATCCAAATATTGACGTTACTTCAGAAATTATTTGGAAAAAATCGAAATAAAAATTTAACTTCTACACCCTGTATCTCTGAAAGCAAGCTTTTTAGGACATACATTTATACGACTTTTTTACATATTTTTATCTGCAGAATATGCTGCCGAAGTTTCCGGAATACAGTTCGGACCACCCTGTATAATACATACCCGATATACACCGCATATACTATGACGGGTTTACCGAAGTATGCTTACTTTGTTAATTTAAGGCACTCCAACAAATTTTAACAATTTATTATTCAATTCGACATTATAAATTCGACATTAAAGAAACATTAAAATGTTCAGAAAACCACCAGTTAGTTAAAGAATAATCACCAGAGTAAACAACAGTCGATAAATTGCATCAAAAACATGACACTACAACATCAATGGTGACATGTTGGTGAATACCCTAGTTTTATAGAAGAATTCCCCAACGACCGCATAGTAAATACTCGGTATAATACCATAAATATACCAGTGTATATCGGGTATATTCTCTACATCTTATGGGTATATACCAGGTGTAAAAACTAAATTTTATTTACTTACCTGTTGGGTATTTACCCACCGACCATAAGTGGGTACTAAACAGAACTACATCAAAATTCATAATGACACGTTAGAAAATGAATATCTAAAACCGCCGTGTGATATAACTTAACTAACTTTCCGAACTCAAATTTAGGGTTTTGTATTTACAATTTTGCTCAGTTAGAAAAAATACTTTTCTAAATTTTGGTACATAAAAACTTGTGACAAAAAAGAAGCCTGAATTTTTAATAGAAGTAAGAATGGACCGGCTCAATGGGGGCAGGTGGCAACGTTGGTCTTATTATTTGGATTTCCCGTGTTTGGCGAATTGTTAAGAAGTACCTATCTTTACAAACATCAAAGCCTCACTGACAATGACGGATATGATCGCGTTGAACTTTTAGCAAACAATCAGTTCTTTGAAGAACCACAAGCTAACACGGAAAACCCAAAAAATAAAAAATACGTACCTCTAGAAAAAAATTGATAAAAGAATCACGTATCATCAATGTCTACAATTTTGTTTATAAAGAACTATTATAAAAACATATGGTTTCTTGAATGAAATATTCCCGACAAGAAGAATAGAACAAATCGATTACAATCTTAAGTTACAATAATTTTTTTATATATTTTTTTATTATAATTTAGTTAGCTTAATCATCATCATCACCATTTTCATCTTATTCAACCATTTCCAATTATCTCCTCCTCCTTAGCCTCCCTCATATACTTTTTTTGTAGCTGGGCCCATTGTTGTTTATTGTTGGTTATGTGGGCCCAAGTTATCCCTGCTAAGCATATATAGGTCGTGACTGGTAGTACACATTGGTTGAATGTTTATGATTTTAGTTTGATTGAGTTTTTTCCATAAGTACTCCGTGCTAACTTAATTCTTCTGTTGATTTCTGGTAGTAGAGATCCAGAGCTGTGTATTAGTTGTCCCGAACATATATATTCTTCTACTATTTCCAGTGTTATGTTATTTATCGTTGTACATTACTTTAGTTTTTGCTAAATTCATTTTAAGACCCATTTTATTGCTGGCTATATTTAGTTCATTAATTTGTGCTTGTAGTTCTTTAGGACTATTGGCAATTAGGAGTATGTCATCAGCGAATCTTAGAGGGTTTTCCATCTATGTTTAATCCTTTGTTTGTCCTGTCAAGTTGACGGAAGATTTTTTCTAATGTTGCTGTAAAGCTTTGGGGATATCGTATCTCCCTGTCGCGCTCCTCTGCCAGTTTCAAATTCTAGGGTTATTTGATATATCATTATTATTGCTATGGTTCTATATATTATTGCTTTGGCTTCTTTGTATAGCTTAAAAAGCTATATTATCTTATTTTTATAATGATTTTTGTTCTAAAAAGCTACTATAAAATAAAATTTTCTGAAAATAAGGCCACAATAAGCCAAAACCTATAATGTTTAAGCAGAGGCGTAGCGAGAGCATTTGTATTGGGGTGGTGCTGACATGTTCAATTTCCTAACTGCCTATGTATAATAACAACTTTGGCTCTCAATTCTGTCCGCGTTTGCAGTGGTGCCAGTAAAACTCGAATCTTTTATATATTGCTTTATGGTTTGGTGTGGATGGCAATCGGTTGAAGATGGCTAAACACTCAGTTATTAAATTCATCTCACTCTTACTAATACGTTTAATATAATTTTATATATTATTAATAGTAAAATTTTTCGAAAAAATTCCTCGGCAACCCCTGTCGATTTTGTCAAAAACCGAAATTTAGAATAGATCGCAACTAAAATATTCTTACTGATAGCTCATTTTACGTAGAATAGACTGATGTCGCAAACCGTTTTCCAATATCTCTTACAGATGTCGAGTTATTTGAGAAAATCTACAAGAGAAATATTTTCTTCTATTTTCCAAAACATTTAAAACCAAATATCTCCGGAACAAAAAGTGTCAATCTCAAAAACGATACAGTTTTGTAAAGTACACATTCAGCACTACAACATATTACAAAATAAGCAAAATCGATTTTCCAAAATTATTCGAAAATATTCCTCGGCACACCCTTGTCGATTTTTGTCAAAAACCTAAATCTCTCAGATCGCAACTAAAATATTCTTACTGATAGTTCATTTTATGTAGAATTGACTATCGCAAACCGTTTTTCGATATCTCTAACAGATCTGGAGTTATTTCAGGAAATCTACAAAAAAAAAATTTTCCAAAACATTTAGCACCAAATATCGCTGGAACAAAAAATGTCAATCTCAAAAACGATACTTTACTAATACTCTTACTAACGATATTACTTTTTATTACTTTCTCTATGTTACTAACACGACAAGTTAAGTAAAAGCTAATAATAAAAAGAATTCTTAAATAAATACCAATTATAAACAAACTTATTATACAAAATCTTTTATATCAGGTACTTAAAACTAGTTTTAAATATTAACCTTTTTATCAAAAGTATTAATAATATCAGCATATAATAATATTAGTGCAAAAACTCTCTAATCCCCCCTAATATTGGCAGTACCCGCTAAGCTAATATAAACTAGTAAGAAACGATTTTGTATACAGTAAAACTAAAATTTATCGTTAAGTCATAGGTACGCTCTAAATAATGAATTGGCTTTATAAGATCTTAGCCGTATTTTGTTTTACATTATTATTAAGATGTAGTTTAAGTGATAATTGTGAAAATGATTGTGCGCATCCGACAGTGAAATGCGAAGACGGATCATTAAGAGGAAAAGTTTTCAAAACAAAAGGAGGTCGAGAAATTTTTGGATTTTTAGGTATTCCTTTTGCTAAACCACCATTGGGCGAATTGCGATTTAAGGTAAATTTTTACTTTCATCTATAGTTTTGCCGGATGTATTTTAAAAAAATTGTTTAATATTATATTTTAAAATACAACGAAAGCTGCAAAAATACACTCACCGACACACATAAAATTTAATATATTTTATTCTAGTGGACCGATTTTGATAAAATTTTAAGCAATATGTAACTAAATCATTTGACTTTTCAATATCTCTGTCTAGATTAAACATGGAAATTTCCATCCGTCAATTATACGAGGATAAAAATTATATTTTGGTGAAAATTTTAAATACCCTGTGGAATATGTAGAAAGAAATTTTCTCATCTAGGTGTATCATTTCTCGATAGTTGGTTTTTTGATTTACGTTCCTTCAATTCATTACAAATTTAAAAGGCTGGCAAATCGATTCTCGATTCGAAGTCCTCATTCAAAGGTTCCTGGACGTCTAATACCGAGTCCAGTTCAAGCAGACAAAACAACGACAAGACAGAAACATTCATGTTTTACGACAAAATTGCCACAAATCCAATACATTTTTGCGACATTTTTGTTTTGTTTCAAAATTCGGAGACTTTTCAATGTCGCGACTCGAGTCGGTAAAGATCAAAGCGTGTATGTTTTGTTCGTATATTTTATGACAAGTTGTTCGCGCAGTGTGCATGGCGTGTGCTGCCTGCTGCCAACAGTAGGAGACCAGTGAAATCACACATGGTTAATAAAACTCATTCGCAACAACTAAACTTTTGACTTTGTTGTACTTTTGTCCTTGATGTGGACAATTTGTCTCAAGTTTGTCTTTTTAAAATTCCCTATTTTTTGTCGCAAGTTTGTCTTGTTTTTGTCTCAAAATCGTGTTTACTTTTTGTCGCCTTGGTCTGGACCCGGCATAACATACGAACTTGTCTCGAGGTAAGGCGACTTCACTCTACTTGCACACCTCAATGTGTTAGCGATATAATTTTGATCTCTTTCGTCTTCAGTTAGCAATTAGCAATTATTAATCAATTAGCGGATACGATTTCTGGTTAGGTTGCAGAAAGAATTGTTGGACTTAGAACCATTTCTGCTAGAATAACTACCCAACAGTCAACAGACAATATAATAATATGATTTTTCAATATCAGTGACCTTACATAAAAAATAAACACTAATTTATAGGTCTGTTGACTGGGACCAAAACCAAAGGTACGAAGCAAAAGCAAAGGCACGATTTTAAGGTAAAAATTACGAAAAAATGTTAATGACTTCTTCCAAATAAAATAAAGCTATTGAGATGAACCGAAAAATAAACGATCGAGAAAATATGCATCTAGATCATAAAGAGTTTAAAATTCCTAGCTTTTTTAACATGTTCCACAGGGTATTCTAAACTTTCACCAAAATAACAATCTTTTTTGTGTTAAAATATACAGGGTGGCGCACCTCATTCGCCTCGGTTGATTATTCCAAAACGGAAAGATGTAGAAACGAAATATTTTATGGGTATATATGGAGAGATAATGTGCACAATTTAAAATTATTTTGAAATGTACAGGGTGTTTCAGAACTAAGATCCATACCAAAGTTATATTTTTTCTTATGGAACACCCGGTATTTTATTTCATTTTTGGATTCTTGGGCCCAAAAAAAGGTATGTATTATATGGTTAAATATGTTTAAACTCTTTGGTTTTTGAGATATTGAAAGATATTTAAATTTGCAGGCTACAATAGAATAGATTATTAACACTTTGTACATTGCTTTTCTCTCTCAGAATTAGTTCATGTGCTGAGTTTAAAGGTAGAGAAATAAACTTTACAGAAAAATGTTATTCCTTCCTTAAATGTATACAGGGGTATCAAAAATTGGTGGTCTATTTTAAATATTTTTTACATAAAAACTTCGTTATTTCAAATGCAACACTATGTATTTTTTTAAATAAGTCGAAGCAGATTTAAATGCTCTTTCAAGCTATATTAGGGTTTCCTATGCCTATCTAGCTCAGATTTTTAATAAAAAGCGATTTTTCAATAAAATTGTAATCAAGATGGCTAGTGTGGTCATGGCAAGTTTCTAATTTATTAAATATGTGTTTATTATTCTATCAAGAAAAACGAAAAAGTAGTCTGAATTATTTTACGATGACTTGTAGACATGGATTTTCTATAAAAGAGCCAATTATGGCAGATTCATTTTCTTCACTTCCAACGACAGGTTTCTGCCTAATAGGTTTTTTATAAACCACACTACCAGGCGAAATAGGACAAGAAGTTTTTCAAAGAAACTCTTATCAGGAAGATTCCTATTTGGATATCTTTGAGCATATACCCTTGATGCCAAGAAGTAATTTTCCTCACAAAATAATATCACTAGTAACATATTATCTATTCGTTCCGCCAGCAGATACTGCTTTATTTTTCTTGATAAAATAATGAATACTTACTTATTAAACTATTGTAGGTAAATTTAAGTAAACTGTTATAAATTATAAATAATAATAATGTCCATAAACTAATGTCGACTTTGAAAATAGTTACTAGCTGTCACTAGAAAATTGCCATGACGACACCAGCCATCTTGATTACAATTTTATTTAAAAATCGCTTTTTATTCAAAATCTGAGCTAGATAGGTATAGGAAACCCTAATATATTGTTTGAAAGAGCATTTGAATCGGCTTCGATTTATTTAAAAAAAATGCAGGGTGTTACATTTGAAATAACAAAGTTTATATATAAAATATATCCTTAAAATAGATCAGCAGCTTTTGATAGCCCTGTATAAATTTAAGGAACCAATACCATTTTTGAGTAAAGTTTATTTCTCTACCTTTAAACTCAGCATAAGAATTAATTCTGGAAAGTAATGTACAGGGTGTTAATAGTATATTCTATTGTAGCATGCAAATTTAAATATCTTTAAATATCTCAAAAACTAAAGATTTTAAACATGTTAAACTTTATAATAAATGCCTTTTTTTGGGCCCAAGAATCCAAAAATGAAATAAAATACCGGGTGTTCCATAAGAAAAAATATAACTTTGGTGTGGATCTTAGTTCTGAAACACCCTGTATATTTCAAAATAATTTTAAATTGTGCACATTGTCTCCCCACATATACTCCTAAAATATTTTGTTTCTACATCTTTCCGTTTTCGTATAATCAACCGAGGCGAATGAGGTGCGCCACCCTGTATATGTATTTGTATAATTGACAGGTGAGAACATTTAGAAAGAGATACTAAAAAGTCAAATTATTTTATTTACAAATTGCTAAAAGCTTATCAAAATCGGTCCACTAGAACACAATATCAAAAACCTTAAATTAATAACATAAATTACTAACTTTGAAGGTGTGCTTGTGGGTGTCCCATTTTGGTTGAAATCTTACGGTATCTCCGTTATTCGTGAAGATAGAAGGGTCCAGTTTGCACATACCTGTGCCACTTTTTTGTCAAACGGAAGAGCCGTAAACAAAATTTTCATAGCCCTCTTCGTTTCTGAGCTACAGGGTCTTTTTGAAAATTTTGCAATTTGGGACACCCCCCGTACCTCTGTTATTGTTAAAGGTGTCGAGAAGGTGAAGACTGTTTATTGTAGAACTTTTTACGTAGAATACAGTGGCGTAGTCTATTATTCTACGAAAAGAATATTTTTAAAGATATGAACTAAAGTTATGTTTTCTTAAATGGCACACTTTGTATATTTATAAATTATATGATCTGGCTTGTCATAAGCTTCTCAAAAATATATATCACTCTATATTTATTTTTACTATTTACTGCAATATTTAAATAAATGTATTAAAGGATCATATTTATTAGTAGTCCATGATTGATAATAAAAGAAACTAAGGAATTATTAAAAGTAGGTATACTGCTATCTGTATCTTGCTTTATTTTGAAAGCCACTAATAAATTCTTTATACAGGGTGAGTTTCAAATAAGTGCAAATATTTTCAGGGCTGGTAGATCTCGATAAAAGAAACATATTTTCTCTTTACCATTTTTCAGATAAGTCCAAAATAACCGAGTTATTTAAGTTTGAAAATTTTTAAAAAAATTGATTTTTTTTGGAAAAATTTTGAGAGCCACCGGCTTTTTGCTGTATTTGCATCCCTTTTAGTGCCGTAACCATAGAGTAAAGCCGTAACAATGTTAATATCTGAGATTAAGGAATTATTCCGTGGCAAAATTTGCGGTGAACAGGCCGTTCTAAAAAGTTTTCGAAAAATATACAGAGAAATTTAAAAGAAAATGCACGATTTTCAACATCTTCTTTTAGCGAAAAAAACTCATTGGCGTGTTCCTGGGGTCGAAATATACCACCCCTGAAAATATTTGCATTTATTTAAGACTCACCCTGTATATTATGGAAACTTAACTCTCTACCGTTATTTGTAAATCTTGGAAGCTATCGTATCGGAACTTTTAAATATTCCTTTAGCTAATTTACGTGAAATATACTTTAAGCAAGATGGGGGTCCCCTGTGTATTTCAAAAGTGGCTCAACCCTATAACTTTTTTATTTCTTCAGCTAAAAAAACGAGATTTGGCTATATCTATCATATTTTTATCATATCATATGTTTATGCTTTTGACATTCACGCTTAAAAAAATCGTATTTTAAATTTTAATCTAGAGTGCCATGGCTGTATTAAAAACATTAATTTTTAATCAAGCAGCCGTGGAAAATATATTTGATCGTCCATTGTTTTTCATGTCTTGTCCTGGCCGGTTAAAAGATGCCCAAATAGTATTTTTAATCATATCTCAATTTTTTCAAACGGAACGACGCGACGATGGCTCATTAGTATATTTGGAAAAGGCATTTTTTTACGAATAATTTGGTACCACACACTTAGTATTTGGAATCAAATTGTCGTTACGAATCGCATGTTGATATGAGGTGTTTTTACTACCTTTTTTTCTTCTTAAATATGCTGCCTGTAATAGGGCATATGATTTTTTTTCTCCCCCTCTAATAGATATATCATATTATTATATCTCTCATAATAGCTACAATAGATATACAGCAA